TTTTACTAATTCAGATGAACAAGTTGTTAACATGAAATAGTTTGAACTATTGAGTAATCGCCTAAGGCCTGATACATATTTGGAACATGCTGTTTAATCGACCAAATTGAACTAGCAGAATGTTATAACTACACTATCAGTCCATTTAAAACAAAAGCCTACGGGGAAATAGTTTACGTCTCAAACTGCTATAGGATAAAGCCCACGTTATACATAAACAACAACCAACTGATCCTAGTTCATGTAGCTAGCTAACATATATACAAATGAGATCCAATATGTAAGCAGAGTTTACCTAGGCAATGCACAGCATGTTTTAGATACAGACAATAAAAAGGAAAAGACTACATTAAACTATAGCTTCAGATCTTTCCCATTTCTCGCATTTATGCTTCGAATAGCTTAAAGATGTACCAGTGTATTCAGTTTGTGTACCTGGATGTTGGAAGAAGAAGAAGAAGAAGAAGAAGAAGAAGAAGAAGAAGAAGAAGAAGAAGAAGAAGAAGAAGAAGAAGAAGAAGAAGAAGAAGAAGAAGAAGAAAGTAGCAGGTCAGCAATAGTAAATGGTAGCAGCAACCAACAAATAACAGCAGCGGCACTAGAATCAGCAGTGTGGGACAAATAAGATACAGCCCAGTGAAACTCAGAGATCCAGAAATGTTTTAGAAAAGAAAATCCCAAAGAGCTAGAATAGCTTTGATTGAGCCTAAATCTCAAACTGAATGTCAATTTTAAAACAATGGAACAGTGCCTTTTTTTCTGGAGTTTTAGAGTTTTTTCCATGAGGCTTTCTTTCTGCCTTTTCTTTAAGTTTTGTTCTCCAAAACTCTGTCTCAACTCCCTCTTTTTTCAGAACTCTTAATCTCCCTTTCTGATTTCTTTTTCCCCTTTCAACTCTTTTTTTTTATGTCTGACCCCCTGAACTCTTCAATNTCAAACCCCCCCCCCCCACCTTCTCTCCCTAACTCTTGCTATCTTTATAGCCTAGAATCAGCCTATTCACCAGCCTGTTAAACAATTGAACTCCCCCCATGTTCCCTTTTCTGTTTTTCCACTCACGAGTTTAAAAGAAAGGTACCCCCCATGAGATTCCCCTGACAGCCCCCTTTTTTATTGTTAAAGTGGCATGTCCCTTATTCTAATTAGCAAGTATGGGCAGCCTGAATATGCCCTTACAGCACATGTTGTCAAATTTGCTTTAATTCAATAAAGAACTACAATGCACATGTTGTCCAAGATCTAAAATGAGTGAACATGCCATTAATTCAAACTAAACTCTGAAATCCATATTAAACTGCAGCTATAAACCAATCCTTAAATGATTTCTGATTCAACTAACAGACCACGAGCAGTTAAAATCAATTCTTAGCTAACTCAAACAATGCCTTAGTAAAATTAAACAGCATGAGTCAGATTACTATCATCCCAAGCTGAGACTAATTGACGACATGTATCAAATCGACTATACTAATTATAGCATAGAACAAACAGTCGATCAAACAAACAACACAAATAGGGCATCAACTGTCTTTGACAATTTTGCACGACACAGGGAAACCACAGGCATCGATTCGACGATATTAATCATATTGAAATATGTATATCACTATACGTATTCAACCATAAACAGAATAACAATCGACCAAATAAAAGATCTTATGGAGATGGAGAACTACTGACAGCAAAATCCCAAAAATAAGCAAACAAACTAATTAACCATGACGATAAACTAAACTAAACTAAAACAAACAACAAAAAAGGAAAAGTGAACTTACTCTGAAAAGCTTAAACACGGACGACCCAGGACCGAGCTGGATTTGCCCATTTGAGGTCGAACAGATCTTAATCGAGGTGTTCTCGACCGAGAACACTCGATTAAGGTTTATTAGACACCAACCTTCCGTTTAATCTAACCGGATTCCAAAAATTCTTGTGTTCTAGGATTCGNGGTTTGGGTTTGGGTTTGGGACGATGAAGGGGGTGTTCGGATGGGGGCGTGGGGTAAGGGTTTGGGCTTATATAGTTAGGGGAAAATTAATCTAGGCCGTTAGATCATCAACAATCGATGGTCTGGATTAACCAGCTTAAATGGAAACGACGTTGTATGGGTTTAGGTGAGACCGGTGGGTCTTTGGGTGAGACGGGTCGGGTTTAAACGTGGGTATGGAGATGTGATCTTGGCCGTTGATCATTCTGAGATCAACGGCCCAGATCAAGCATGATCAAGACGACGTCGTTTGGATGTCCCTGAGGCCAACTGATTTGGACCGGGCAAAGCAGTGCTTTTGGGCCTGATTTGGGTCCAATTATATGGCCCAATTCCGATTTAACTCATTTCTTTTCCTTCTTTTAATTTGTGATTTAAATAAAATTCCTAACTAAATTGTAAAATCAAAATAAAACCATACAAATATTAATTAATACTGAAACAACAATTATCACTCACATTAAACATTTAATTAAAATAAAATCACTCAATGACAACAAATAGAATAAAAGATGCATATTTTTGTGATTTTTCCTTTTAAAACCAAATTATGGTTTGATTAATTCCTAATAGTAGAACGATATCCTAAACTCACATGCGACATATATTTTTTGTATTTTGTTCGACAAAACTAAACAATCACAAACAAAACTACAAATAACTGCCAAAAATGCCACGTAAACTCCAAAAATTGTACAACAAAACCATTTGTTTTATTTTTTTGACTTCTTTTGGAGTAATTGTCGTGTAAACAAAAATCACGTGCTCACAGCTAGTCGAGTATTCACATGTCGCTCATCAATTTTACCCCGTACAACAACAAGATGCACATCTAGAAGATATATATGAAAGAATACAAGTCTCTATTAATGGAAAATATTTCAACAAATAAATAGCATCTGTCAAATATACATATGGCTTTTAATTATTCTCTATTAAAAGACTGCAGATCATAAGAATCTACAAATGGAGGTAACTAATCATCTATTAATACAAATGATATCCTTGATCTGAGCTATCAACATCTGAGTTGCTGCTACCCTCATGACTATCTTTCTTCACAACTTTCATTTCTTCAACTGTACTAGTATTACTCTTTGGACTTTCCTCTTTCATCTTCTTATTTTCTCTTCTTTTTCTCCAATCTGTCTTCCTTTGCACTTGTCTAACCAACAAAATTCCCAAACTGAGAAACACAGCCAAAGTGCACCCTCCACCTATAACCACAACCTCAGTTAGCACCCAATTAGACCCCTTTCCTTGTGGCATAATTGCCCATATTGCAGCTATATAAGCTGATGCCATAAAAAATGTTGAAATCCACATTACTTTGTGTGTTGCCACCATTAGTTTCATCATTGACTTTCTCTTGAATGGAATAACACTAACAAGAACATTAACAATTCCAAGGGAAAGGAATAGTGCCACAATGTTACATACCAAGAATACCTTAAATGCTGCATTTTTACCCAATAATGCTTTTCCACTAAGTTGATTAAATCCACCAGGGGGGTTAATTCCAGCAGCAAATGTGACAGTTGCTATTAGCACTGCTACAACTGTTATGGTTTTTCTTGCATTTCTTAGACCTTCACTTTGGAGCTGGATTTTCTTTGCCCTAGTAGCGCGATAACTATTAGTATTGTGCTTCCTTTGATGATTATAAGAATGTTGAGATGAGGAGGATGGAGATTCAAAGGTATTTTTTCTTGGCCAGGGAACCATATTTGGTGAAGCTAGCTGCTGGATGTCTTGAAAAACAGGAGGTAATTGGTCACATCTTTTAGCACCTGCTTCTTGTAATGCTGGGATGATTGCAAGTGCACCTGAGTTACTTGCATCTGCTTCAACTACATCTAAAGCTGTATATCCTTTTTGATTCAATGCATTTACTTCAATCCCAAGCTTAAGTAGATAAATGACCATCTGAAGAGAGGAGTGTACAGAAGAGAACATTTAGTTTTGGGCTTTGAATTTAGAAAATGCAGTCTTAGTGCAACTTGGTGTCCAAGACATAAATTGGGATAGAAGGAGTAATAATATCGTATATATACTAACACTAATTAAAGAGAAAAATCCGTCCGTAACCCGATTTAGCGACAGATTAATGATAATAATTCTCTTAGCTACGGCTGATTTAGCAACAAATTAGCAGCGAAGTTCGTAGCTAATTTCAATTTTTATAGTGTAATACATAAAATAAATTTTCACATAACTAGTGTAATTTAATCTGCTGTAGAAAAAAGAAATTAAAGAAAAAAAAAAAACTGCTGTAGAAGATTATTTGCCTTGCTTTTCAGGAAACTTAACTGATTATGAACAAGAAAGTTTTCATTACCTTTAGAGTGAGTAATAACTTAAAATCGCCTAAAAATTAAAGGCTAAATTTGCCGAGCATTAAATCTCCTAGGACTAATGTATCATAGGTTTTAAAAGTTTCTTCGTTCTTTCTTGAACTCCATGCACGATAAAATACCCTCACATAAAATGACACGACAAGATATTAACCTAGAACTGAAATACAAAAAAGTGCAAAAGTATATCTTACCGTGGTGAGTTTCCTGACAGTTGCCAAATGGAGAATGGTATTTCCATCATTATCTTGAAGATTCATGAGATTCGAAACATTAAGACATTCCATCAAAAACTTAAGCACTTCAAAATGGTTATTCTTGACAGCCAAATGGAGAATGGTCTCTCCATTTTTGGTTACCATTTCAGCAGATTCAAGACTCAATGAGAGTATCTCATCAATGATGCTCACTCGTCCTTTAATCACAGCCCAATGAAGTGGTGTTCTGCCTTCATTATCTTGTTGGGCAGAGAGGTCCATGTCCAGCTTTAACAATTCTCTAGTTATATCTAAGTGGCCTTTGCTGCAAGCTATATGTAACGGGCTGCACCCGTTCAAGTCCTTTTTCCAAGCAAAATCTGGTCGCACTTTAACCACTTCCTTCACTATTTCTGCAAATTAATAAGAGAAAGCTAAGAATGATACTTTAATTGGTCTTAATTAGACTCTCAGTCTAATAACTTCACGCATATGATTTTCTGAATTTTCCTACAATAGAGCTTCTTGTTTTAGTGTTGTCTCATTTAGTGTGTCCAAAGAAAATAAATTAAAGATCACTATCGCCGTTCTCATGATTTTTGTATGATCAATTATTATATCCACAATAGGACGATCTTTTGAAGTCATTAAGGGTGTGTTTGGTATGAAGGGAAATGTTTTCGATGAGTAGTTTTATCACTTATTTTTTCATGTTTGGTTGGTGAGTGAAAAACTTGTTCCGGGAAATATTTTCTAGTGTTTGGTTAGAGATAGAAAATATTTTTTAGGAAAATAGTTTTTGATGCTACTCAGCTCTTTCCCTCCTCCCACAAATCCCCATGTTTCCTGTGTTCCTCCCCTCTCTTCCCCCAAATATCCAACGTTTTTAATACTCTATTTTTTTCAAGAATTTAATTATTCTTTTAAAAATAATACTCCTTTTGTTGAAATGAAAGAAAATACTTTTTCTATATCATGAAAAGAAAAAGAATATCCTCATTTTATTGAGCTGAAAAAGAATTAATACTCTATCTACAATATGAAAAGAAAGTATTCTAANTGGGTTGTGGTGGGGTGGTGGGTGGGATGGGGAATAGGATGGGGAGCTTAAAAAAAATGTTGGAAAATGTTTTCCCTTCTCTTGATATGGAAAATATTTCCTCCAATTGGAGAAATGAGTTCATGAGGAAAATGCTTTCCAAAATATTTAAGCCAACAAAACGTGAGAAAATAAAAAAAATATTTTCCTTCGTACCAAACACATCCTAAATTATACTTATAAATCAAGTCAAACCTAGCATAAAGAATATACATCTGGTGGTCTTAAAGGGATTTTCTATAGAATCCTTAAACATGATGTAAATTTTATGAAAACCGTTAAACCAAGTCTTGTTGATATACATAGTCTATATATGGGTCATGAAATAGTTTTATGACAATCTCGAGGTTTCGATGTCAAGTATTCCTCCTCATTGCTTCATGCATCAACATTGTAATTTTTCCCTTTTGGTAACAAGCAAGAAAGTTTATTCGAGTTTAAGTTATATACAATATAGATACTATAAGGTCATTTTACAAACAAATTCAGTCGCAGTAATAAACAACATAGATACTTTATTTAATCTATTTCTCTCTCGTAAGTGAGTCTTCACTCAGAATTTTATGGCAAAGGGCAGTCCGGTGCACTAAGCTTCTGCTATAGGCAGGGTCCGGAGAAGGACCGGACCACAAGGGTCTATCGTACGCAGCATTACCCTGCATTTGCAGGAGGCTATTTCCACGACTCAAACTCATAACTTCCTGGTCACATGATAGCAATTTTACCAATTATACCAAGGCTCCCCTTATCAGAATTTTATGGATGATTCCTAAAGAAAAAAGTAACAGTTCCTACTTTTTATACAAGTATCTATATTGACTGGTGCTGAGTTCCTTTGTAAAATGTAAACGCATAAACAAATATATAAAGGCGACTTTATAATAAACTTGGAGAGAGAATATTTCTTCTTAGAAAAAGTGAGTGACATTTAACGGCAACAGCTAAAACACAAAGAAGAAGAGGATAAGGATAGGACACTCGCGTTCTCAATTAGTCGAGCAAAGAGGATCTTGGCCCAGGCATAGACTTGGCCGTGTGAACATTGGAAAATAGAGGACCTATGACATAACAGTTGATGTGTATATAAGTCAAATGAAGAAGCACATTTACGTACGTGTTCTTTTGGCATGACGAAAAGTATTTTATTATCTTTCACAAATTGTCTGCTTTGATGGCTTTAAAAATTGTTTTGCGAAAACTAATTTTCTTATTTGTCTCTTCTATGAAACTTGCTCCTACCGACACCATCCATCGTTATCATCCTTTATTGCAACCAACTTTTGTATTTATCTTAATAGATTTATTAGATATATACAAATTATTAATTCTAAAATCTAATAATTTAAATGGAATAGAATTTTTGTGAGTATAATTCCCTCATACCCCCATCCTCAAATCCAACACAAACATTGACAAATTGAACTGATTTCAGTTCAAAGACAGATTATGTCTAAGCTTATTTGAGATAGTAATACTTTTCCTAGAATAAAGATGGTACTAATTTATAAACCTAAATTATTTAGTTTAAAAGCTGACGCAGACATTAATTTGGATGAACTCTTTACTTGGCTAAATTTTATTGTCACTACTTTTTGTGCTCGCAAGTTTTCTTAACCAAAGCAATCTCCCTTCCCTACTATCCAAGACTATGGATAATCCTAAATCGAAGCAAATTTCCATTATTTGCCTAGTATTTGCATAGTAATACCTCCATCCCATTTTATGTGATAGCTTTGACTGTGCACCGTGTTTAATAGTTAAAAAAAGACCTTTAAAACTTGTGGTCTAAGCAGACCATCGACATTTGTGTGACTGTAATCATCTCACTAAAAGTCAAATGATATATTTAAAATTAAATTATTTTTAAATTTAGAAATATGTCCTTTTTTTAGAACAAACTAAAGATGAAATGTGACACATAAAATAGGACAATGGAAGTATCAGTCATCATATAGTTCTAGTTTAGCTGTATATTATAACTCCTTAGTGACTACTAGCTACTAGCTATGTTTCCTTAATAATTAAGTTCACATAGTGAATTTGTGCATGAACGTAACACCAATCCAAGGCATCTTACATTTTTTGCCTTTATGTACATATTTTCATAAACTTCTGCCGAGCTAGGACACATTTTACACCAAATCATATCTCAATGCAACCAGTTGTTAATATGCAAATGTCAAACAATGTTGAGAGAGTCTAATCTTCGAGTTACGCCCAAGAGTTTGGCGTGGTAGTAACATCATATATTAGGGTTTAAATCTCAGCATATACAAAAAAAACTGCTACTGAATGATTTCTTCTAATTTGTCTAAGTTTTGGTAGCAGGATAACCCGATCAGCTTAGGAGATAATAGGTACACAATTGATTGGATTGAGATGTGTTTAAGCCGGCTTGAACACAACTATATTAAAAGAAGAAAAGGAGACTAATTCGAAGTCTGAATATCCAAATTATGTCAGAACTTTTACCTGTATGGCCGGAAGAAGCTGCAACATGAAGTGAACTAGTCAACATATCAACTTCAAGCATCAATAGCCTTTGGACATTGTTAAGTAAATGCTTAACCACTTCGATTCTACCTCTCTCACATGCTATATAAAGCACACTCTTATCCCACAAATTCGTCTTGTAACCAACCCATGGATCATTCTCAAGCAGGATTCTCACAATTTCAATCCTTCCTTCTCTGCATGCTTCATGTAGAGGCGTCTCAAGATCCCGGTTTTCGGCCGACGCCATCTCCGGGAACAGTTTCACGATAGCCGTGGCCAATTCTACGTGGCCAAGTCTAGCTGCTAGATGCAATATGGTGTGTAATGATCCTGGAATCGTTTGTTTTATTATGTTTTCATCTTCTTCTATGAGTTTATGAATGGCTGGAATATCTCCCCTGAAAACTGCTTCATAAAGCCGCCGGTCCATTTCTTGAATGATGTTTTGTAACTTTTAGGTTATTTGGAAGCTCGAGTTGCAGATTGTGTCCATTATCTTTGGGACTATTTATGCAAACTCAAGTCATTTTTTTTCCACACCTGCAGCTGCCAAGAAAATTCCTAAGCTATTTTTATAACGTGTTCCTTTTTCGTTTCATAAATATATGGTGGGCATCTCTTCTAGACAGAACAAAATGGTGAAAGTCAAGTCTTCCATGAAATAATTCTTTTGCATGGGTAGGTGAGGAATGTAGTAACTAGCTAGGCCAAAGGAACTTACCTGAGCCAGCTCGGGGCTATGTTAACTCGACTCAACTCGACTAAATCTAGAATGAGACGGGCTCAGTTTAATTAGCTGGTTTTGGTCAAAGCTCAGTTCAACAATGCTCTTGTATGCATTCAAAACTGGGCTCGCCCCTTGCGTCACTAATCGATAATGGAATATGATAGGTTAAGGATCGACCTCGTATTATATTGAACCATGGTGCAAAATTAGATCGTCGAGCTCATGATCCAGAGACCGATCGAGATCGAGATCGAGCAAGATTGAGACCGACCAAGATCGAGGAATACTTACCAAGCCAAATAACGGAAAGCTGAAATATCCACAATCGGTCGAGGATCACGCCGGAAATCACGGCACGTATTAAGAAGAGGTCGATTAATTAGCTAATCGTGAGATTTCTTACCTCATATAGAACTGTATCAAGAGTAGGACTTCCCTACTATATAAAGGGGGTCTGATCATTTGTAAGACACATCATATTCACGCAATACAAAGCAATATACTGTCATTTTCTAGCTTTCATTATCTTCTTACTCTGTTCATAAGTCAGTTGAAATATCTTTGGGTTTAAGGGTGATTGAACTCGAGGGTCAATTGCATTTATTCTTTTAACGCCAATTTCAATATTAATCAATTCTTTTAAATTTGTACCAAGTTATATCATATATCCTTAATACTGTGTATAAATTCAATTGTTATCCGTTTTTAAGAGTAAACAGCTTTATCAATGTTCAATTAAAGCTCGACTAGGTCGAAGGTCGAGCTTGATCTACTCGGTTCGCTTGGTTCGATTGAGTCGTGTCACGATAAAGATTAAAATTATCCTATAGACTTAAGGAGTAAGAAAATTGGTGATTAACTTAAATTAATCATTACTACTTCCTCATTTCCAATTTATGTAAACATATTTGACTGAACACGAAATTTGAAAAAGAAATGAAGACTTTTAAAATTTATAGTCATATATAAGTCATAAAATTTGTGTGGCTATAATTCTTTTGAAACTTATGGTATTAAATATACCAGAGTGTTTCTATGATAATTAAAGTTTTGCATTAAGTGTATAATTAAAAGTTTAAGTTACATTATTTCAAATTTAAAAAGAGATCATTCATTTTTAAATGGTTTAAGAAAATAGGTTCGCCTAAATTAGAATAGATGGAGTACTAGTAAGTAATTGGGAATTTTTATTAATTACTCTATGAGATGTAATTAAATATTTTATCATAATTGTAATTTAAACTACTTGATGGAGAGTTCTTTTATTTTTTGGGGTAAGACTTGATGCAAACTTCGAATTTAACTAAAAAATTATTTCATGAATTAAAAAAAAAAAAAAGTAGTGAAGTTCTTATACAAGCTTTTCCTATTTTATGTTGTTACTTTTTTTTTTGGTTTTGAAAGTCCACTTTTNTATTTCATGAATAAAAAAAAAAAAAAGTAGTGAAGTTCTTATACAAGCTTTTCCTATTTTATGTTGTTACTTTTTTTTTTGGTTTTGAAAGTCCACTTTTATGTTTTATAGTTAACTTGATTGCATTCAGATTTCAGGCCTAATTTCGAATTTCTAATTCGTATGGTTCAATCGTATTCAAATTCAAACCTCAATTTAAACGGTTAGTTCCTATATTATCTCTCAACCTATCAGTCTATTACTAGAAAATTGTAGACTATGCTGGAAAACATATGTTAACAAGCTGGTTTAGTCTCGTCTCAAGCTTGATTACACTATAATATAGTTCGATTTTGAGCTCGAGTCAGGCTAAACTTAACACAATATTACTGCAACAAGTCCAGTTGGACTTGACTTTGAGCTCATCAGTCGACGCCCTAATCAACTAGATCGAGGGACTCCTAAAACATGTGCTTCTGAGAAAATTTTGTATAAGCACGTATTTTAGAGCCATTTAATGGTTTTATATTCGGAAAAGAGCAATATTAGCATCTTTACTATCCATAAAAAGTTATATTTACTCTTTGTGTTTCAGTTTCTTAGTATAAATATTTTTACCATTATACTTTTGAATCATATTTGGGCTCAACTCTTAAATAACTTGGTCCCGTCTTAAATATAACTTACATTTTATAGTATTGGGGCAAATATAGCTTGGTCCCGTTATACTTTTCTGTTTTATATTTCCTTAGTATCCCAAGTTTACTCCGTGCATACTTCTCATATGTAAGAAACTTTGTTCAAAATTATATTTGATGATTTTGTAGATTATAAATCAAGTGTTAAATTTCCACAGTAAATAGATATGGCGTAAATGTGAAAAAGAGTAAACAATAGCGGTGCAAAATGCTAAGTAACCTGATGGTGGTAGACTGGTGGTCTCTTAAGACAAGATGACAAATATTCATTTTCCCCATTTAATCTTTTAAAGATTGTTTTTGTTTGTTTACGAGTACCAGGTGGAGTGATATTTTTTTTTTCTTCAAAAAAGTTCTTACTCAGACGAAAAGTAGGAAATAAATTCAAATCCACTAGCATTTCTTATCTTTTACTTGGAAACTAGGTACCTCATAATGCACATATTAGGGAGAATCTATCTGACCTCATCACTTGCATCAACATTTGTTCATCGTCTTAGTATTTACTTTAATTTTGGCGACTTTAAAGTCGATTACTTTTGTTTTATTCCCACCCAAATCTTTGAGAATCTACAAAAAGTTCAAACTCTTTTAGAAGCCGGCGGAAAAAAAAGGTACCCAACCCCAACGCCAAAATTTATGTGCAGAAATGGCACCATGTAGTCATTTGATAGCGTTGCTATTTAGAAATTAATTAATGTCTTAAATTTTAATTTTTTAGTTTAATTTTTTAAAATATAAATATCATGAATTATCTTGTAATTTAGATTTTTAGTTCAAATTTTTTTAAATAGTGGCTAATTCCTAAATAGAACCCTTAAAATGGCTATTTCTATATTTTCCTCAGTTTATGATATCCATCAAATAGTACAACCATTTACTGCTTTGCTCAGTAAAAATTACACGGGGCGTCCTATTTGGTCGCCCCCATTTAACCTATACCCATTTTTTTAAAAAGTTTTAATTTGTACCCACTTTTTAAACAACTTCAGTCCACTTTCTCCTCCTCCTCCTCCTCCTTCGTTTTCTTCTTCTTCTTCTTTTTCTTCTTCTTTCTTCTTCTTTCTTCTCGTTGTTGTTGGTGTTGTTATGAAACTTCAGTTCATGGGATGATTGTCATAAGTATGTTTATCATATTATTTAAAAACAAATTATAAATAATTACGTAAGTTAATAGATAATAATTTGTGAATATTTCCACGTAATTCTGTTCTTTTCACGTTTATTATTTCCAAAATTTATTATTTAGATATTATTGGCAATCGGATTATTTTATAGTAGTAATACATTATGAAAGAATAAGGTAATTATTTATCTAGTATGTTAGAAAGATTTTTCAAAAACTTCAGCTTATATAGTACTGAAGTTTTTACAAATGAACTAAATAACTTCAGCATCTTTTGCTGAAGTTTTTGAAAAAGCTTTATGATGAAACTAATGAATCCAGGACAAAAAAACTTCAGCTTACATAGTGCTGAAGTTTTTACAAATGAACTAAATAACTTCAGCATCTTCTGCTAAAGCTTTTGAAAAAGCTTATCTAGGACAAAAAAAACTTCAGCTTATTTAGTGCTGAAGGTTTTACAAATGAACTAAATAACTTCAGCATCTTCTGCTGAAGTTTTTGAAAAAGTTTATCCAGGACAAAAAAACTTCAGCGTATTGTATTTGCTACTTCAGGCCCGTCTACTAGAATGCTAAAGTTTTGCGTGATTGCCTTTGCTACTTCAGCCCCGTATGCTGAAGTTACGCGAAAAAATGGGTACGCTTGCAATTTTTTTGCAAAGCGGACACAAGTTAAAACGTGACTCAAAAAATGGGTATAGATGCAAATGCCCCCTTTGCTCGTCACTAATGAGCCGGATCACTTACTTGAGAGTTTTCTCCTCTTACTACGAGCGCATTTGGATGAGTTGATTAAAAATATTTTATAAATGCTTAAATTAATTTATTATTAAGCAGATACGTATTTATATATAATAATCTGTTTAGCCAAGTTTCTCCTAGCTGAAAAAGCACGAGGCTTGTGTTTTCTTTAAATTTACTTAATTAATTCACTTCTTCCCTTCATTATTTTATATTCTTGGATCAAACGCGGTGCACGACGTGACACCGATACCCGTACCTCCGCTCACAAAAGAGCCAAAGGGTAATCAAGCCACACCCTCCGATTAAGTCCAATTGAAATAAAGGACCATACTGCGTCCTCACCTCGAGTGATTGGAACATATCGGTCCTCAAAACATCGCCGGAGTGCCTCACACTAAGGTATAACCATCTCCCTTTTCATTTCGTATTTCAGACTAACCCTTATGCAGGAGCCCGATCGAAGTAGTCAGAACGTTAACCCAGCTCGAAGACCTTGAGTTTTTAAAGCATCCGTTGCACTCTTTTCCTTCGACCGAGTTTTTATCCCGAAAAGGGTTTTGCCGGCAAGGTTTTTAACGAGGCAACATTTGCATGCTACCTAAGGGAGACTCAACAAATGTTCGAGGCTTCTTTTGCAATCAGCTTCAAACACTGAGGTGCATCCCCCCACCCCCCCCCCCCCGAAGGTCATCTGCTCGGAAAAGCCAAAAGACGCTGAATCGGGTCCCTATAGGAAAATGATGTACCGGGCCAAACGGTTGAATGAACCGTGTCCATATAGTCGGGCCCTCGGCGGCGAAAACGTGTACACTTGCACCAAATAATTGAAGAATATTTTTTATCGAAGCATCTCACGCTCCAAAAGAGGCTTTGCACCTTCGCAAAAACAACTCCTCCGCCAAAAATGTCCCAAACACTCGGGGACTAGCGTCAACAATTCAACACCTAAAATAACCTCCGGATTGAGACTCCAGAATCATAAGCCCTCAGATAAGGC